TAATAATGATGCAACGAAAAATAAAAACCCCACCGTGGCTCTTTTCCTTCTGAGTATTGCATGGAAGCTGGTTCTCTTGAGCCTCAATGAGCCCCACTCTTCCTTCTTGCCTTATTTTCCTCCCAAAATTTAGAAGTGTGCTACTTACTCTCTTCCTCCTCCTCCTCCTCGGCTTATTTTATTTCCAAACAGACTTTAAAACTTGCTTTTAAATGCTATGCTTAAAATTTAAAAAGGAAAGGAAAAGAGACGGATGAGAATGGAGGCAGGAGACAACCAAAGAGAAAAGAAGAGGAGTTGTTTTAATAAATGCAGCAGGTGGACTTCGAGAAAGCCTTTCCCTCTCTTTTGCTTCCCGTTTAGTTTTCCCTTCTGTCCTTGAACCAAAAGTCTGTCATTAACGACGGAGACAAAAAACAGCAAGAACACAATTCTATTCTGGCTTCCTGGCCTGGGAGCAGTGGCATGGGAAGGAAGAGAGAGGAGTGGAAGTTAACAAAAATACCAAAACAATTACCACAATTAGAATATTGACAGTGGTGACGGTGATGATAATGACGACGACGCATTTCCTTGGCCTGAGCGAGACGGAGAAGAGGCCAGACCAAAATCAGAAGCCTAACCAAAAACTTTTTTTTGCTCTTGTTGCTTTGCCTTCTTGGTTGAGAAAACCAACAAGCGGGCCTTTCTCTGCCAGCTCGGCAACAACTGTTTGCTGGAGAGTGGCAAAACTAAGAGAAGCCAAATAAAAATAAGACTAGAGTGCAAGGATCTTCCACTCCCTCCACCTCCCCACCCCAACACACACACTTGGAACCTCCTTCTTCCATAATCGTTGACCCACGCAACCGGCCCGGTTGAGCAGCTGCCTGTACAAAGGAATAGTCATCGAATCGACAGGACAACCTCAAACCCATCCCCATCCCGCCCCACCTGTTCAAAGTGGGGAGACTGCAACTCCAGCAAACCCTTGGAGTTTCGCAGGTAAGTACAGGAGCTCCTTCCTTCCTTCCTTCCTTCCTTCCTTCCTCCTTCCTTCCTTCCTTCCTTCCTTCCTTACTTGTGAAGAAAAGCCCGGATTTTCTTTTTAAGTTTGTTCACGTTGCCCAGTTTGGGCCCATTTCGGGACGGTGCGTGAGAGTGCCCGCACGCCTTTCTTTGTGTCTCTCTGCGTTGTGCGTACGTGTGTTTGTGTGTATGTGTGTGCGTGTGCGTGCGTGCGTGTGTGTGTGTTCCAGAGCCTAATCAAAGCTATGGGGCCGCCAGCGCATTTATCATCCCATTACTGTAAAAAATCCGGGCTCCCACTCCATGAAAGGTAAAATGAATTACCGACGTTAAGCCGTCAATAAAGTCATTTCTGTAAATGGTGTCTCCGAAGGACTGCAGCATTATTCAACCAGCTTTATCAGCAGCTGGGAAATTACGTGGAGAGGCGCGCAGCGTGTAATAGGGGCCCTGCTTACTTTGATTAAGCGCCGTGCCAGGGAATAGTGACAGTGCTTTTTGACCAGGTTTTATTCGCCGTCTTCTGATGAACGCCAAGCTGATCAGGCGGAATGAAGAGTAATTAAAACCTATAAATTATCTTTCGCGGCCCTTCTCAAGGCGTCTCTTTGCAGGCGAGATAAGGCGGCGGCCCCCCATTTACGGCTCTGAAAGGGACTGAGGCACACAAAGGCTACGCCGCTAAATGGGATATTGATAGTGTCCTAATTAGAATTTAATTAAGTACCCACGCTCGCTTTTGGGATAAAGATTTCATTTTTTTTGTCTTCCCCCTCCTTTTTTTCCCGAAGTAAAATATAAATAAAACCCAATTTTAGGAGGAAGGGGGGGAAGCTAAATGAGACGAGATTGAAAATGGCCAGATGTTCAACAGTCATTTAATTTGGAGGTATGTGCTCTTCTGTGTCTCTGGTGTCTGTCTCGATGGGATTTTCTTTTACTTCAGCTTGTCGTTTAGATGATGATGATGGTGATGATTGCTCTTTTTATTTGGAAGTTGCTTTCAAAGTGGCTTTGAAACTAGGCCTTCCTAAGGTGTCCTTCTCGGAAAACTCGAAAGAGTAAAAGCCTTCTTTGCCTACAAGACCCAGTAAGACCTCTGACGCTCCGAAAATAATCCCTCCCAATTTCAGCGGTTTGGACCCGGATTTGGGAAAAAGCACCGGTTTTTCTAGTCGCATATATATGGACTCACACGTATGCCTGAAATGATCCGATTTGTCAATTACAAATCAATCTCTCATTTAAAAAAAAAAAAAGAGAGGGAAGAAAATAACAATCCAGTCACGTGGCACCGACAGCTCTCCTCCTCCTCCTCCTCCTCGTTCTCTTTCTTCACCGGATCGCGGAGCTTCTCACCTGCATGTTTACAAGCATTCGAAAGAGGAGCAGAGACCTCAGGAGGCTCCGCCAGTCCCTTCCAGTTTGCCTCCACGCTAAGCACAATGTGAACGTTTTATAATTGTTTAATGTTAGAAAACATACATAGCTACACATACGCACGAACGAAGCATGTGTGCATCGTGGTGGCGTATGGCAATAAAATGGCCCATAAAGAAATAATGCAAGCGAGAAAAAATATTCTATTTTGGAACAATGTGGTGGAAGCAAAAAACGGAACAGGCCAATACCACCTCCTCCTCCTCCTCTTGTGTTCTAATAACATACAGAATAGGGAAAGAACCCGGACGGTTGTGTCATCAGTTTTGATTTGTGGGGAGAAGGGGGGAAGATAGAAGCATCTCCTTGTCCTATCAACTAGCAAGCTAATACATGCTGAATATTGTAACTTCCTGCTTAACCATCGGCTCAGCTAGGAAAACACAGTTTTTAAACTCGACACGCACTCGCTCGCGAGGTGTCCCTCGGTTCTTTCAGAATCCCACCTGTTCCTGTGCGGAAAACATAGTGCGAGCGTTTGTAAAGGATTATATCTCTGAGAAAGGAGGAGGAAATCATAGGTACTTCCAGAGTTGACAAAGACGTTTGCACAAAGTCCAGCATGTCACTGCCCTATATTAGAAGAAGAAGAAGAAATCTAAACTAAACAAAAAACCAGAGGCAATCCGGCCAAAATAAAAACGCGTTTAGTTCCTACTGATTTCAATAGCAGACATTAAAACGTGTGCTTAAAGCCGCAGTCCCGTGCACGCTTACCTGAGAACAACTCTCACTGAAATCAGTGTACAGTATTTAGTTGTTCTAAAGGACTCAGCGTTACACTAATATGCCTCCATTTTACACCAATGAAACTGGCTGATTTGGGCCCTTCATTTTTTTATCTTTTTTAAAAAAACAGTCCAAAGTTCTTCTTTTTTTTCCCCTTTCCCAAAGCTTTTTGGTGTTGTTCCTTCACCGTGCAATCAATAGGCTGTCTCCTCGAAAGAATGCCCAGTGTTGAAAGGGCCTTTCCTACCAGGTACAGCCTTCAGATCTGTTCCGATTAGGTATCCGGCCCAAAATAGAACCAAAACACAAGGATTGATCTGATAAATCTGTCTGGAACAGTTATTTCCAAATAGATCACTAGCCGGCAGACTGACCAGCAGACCATAAGATCAAGGTTTTATCTTATTTTATATACAGAAAATTATTCTACAAAATTTCCATCTAAATTTTGTTACGCATTTTACCCTTTAGAAATAATATACGTATTTTTTTTTCTTAAACAGCAGCAGAGGAATGTCATCAAAGGGTTATTTTGGAGCGCTGGAAAGTAGCACACAATCACATAGAGAATCGTGTTGTGGAGTTCCCCAAAGTTATTTGTGAAGTTTATTTGAAATGGGATTTTTGGAAAATAATGACCAGATGAAAAGTCCTCGGCTGGAGGGAAAGAGGAACTAGAAGCAGGGTTTATTAAAAAAAAAAAAAAAAAAAAGGATGCGCCAAAGCCAGCGTAAATCTCTTTCTCTCTCTCGGTCTCTGAATTAGACAGCCCCTTGGATAACGTATCCGCAAAGTTCCAATGCAGCTCATTGGCTGACGTCAGGGGCGTCACAGAAATCCCGGGCCGGCCATTGGCTCTTTCCACGTGCGGGCCAGCCTCACGTGCTTCCGGTTGGGATGAAAAAAAAGTGTGGCTGAGAGATTTTTTAGGGAGAGTTTGTTGCAAGATCGGAGCTGTCAGAGATTTTGCCTTTTTTATATATATCTAAAGGGAAGAGGAGAAGGAGGGGGAAGAAAGGTGGGAGGCAAAAAAAAAATATGCACGTGCGAGCCGGCGATTAAAGCATCTGCCAAGGCTGATCCGCGGGCAAAGCAGATTCTGACACTTGGGGAAACCCCGAAGCTGCAGCCTTTCGGAGAGAGATGGGTAGATTGTGAGAAGACTTTGGGGGCGGGGGGCGGGGTCTGGGGGGTCTCGTTTTGTTTTGGTCTTTTTTCCTCCTTTTTTTGCAAGGGGGGAGAGAGATAGAGAGTGGAAATATAAGGATAACGGCAAAAAAAGCGAACCCCTCCACATGCCCGGGTCTTTGGATATCTCTCTTTAGATTCCGCTGCAAGCCAACAAGTGGATGTTATTCTGGTTTTGTCTGGGATTTTTTTCCCTCCCTTGTCCTCTCTCTCTCTTTTTAAAAATAACAACTCCTCTCACTCACAAGAAGACGACGAAGCATCCCCACGCTCCTCTCGCCTCCTGGACAAGCGGGGCGGAGGGCGACCCAAAAGCGCAGGGGGAGCGCAAGGACAGCGATCGGCGGAGCTGGCGGCTGACTATGGAAGAGCAGACGGACAGTAAAAGTCAGCGAGACTCTGCTCCCCTTCCCGCCGGCAACAGCCACAGCCTCAGCAGCCTCAGCACCAGCACCAGCACCAGCGGCGGCAGCAGCGATGGGGAGAGCGTCCCGGTGTCGCCCAGCAGCCTCGCTCCCTTGTCTCCCGGCGCGCCTTGCCTCGTGTCGCTGCCCCATCATCCCCATCACCACCACCCGCACCACCCGCACCACCATCTACAGCCGCCGTCGCAGCAGCAGCAGCAGGCGCCTCGGCCACCCCAGCAGCAGCAGCAACAGCAGCAACAGCAGCAACAGCAGCAACAGCAGCAACAGCAGCAACAGCAGCAACAGCAGCAACAGCAGCAACAGCAGCAACAGCAGCAACAGCAGCAACAGCAGCAACAGCAGCAACAGCAGCAACAGCAGCAACAGCAGCAACAGCAGCAACAGCAGCAACAGCAGCAACAGCAGCAACAGCAGCAACAGCAGCAACAGCAGCAACAGCAGCAACAGCAGCAGCAGCCACGGCCGCCGCCGCCGCCCCATCGCACCACCAACTTTTTCATCGACAACATCCTGAGGCCGGACTTTGGCTGCAAGAAAGAGCAGCTCTTGATCCTCGCCGGGACTGCGGGAGGAGGAGGAGGAGGTGGCGGCGGCGGCGGCGGCGGGCGGGATAGAGACCTAGATCGCGCCGCCAGCTCAGGTAGAGAAAATGTCAACCCACTGCTCGGCCGAGCCCCCAACCCGGCCTCCTCCGCCCTCCTTAGCGCGGACTCGCACGGGAACCCCGACAGCTCCTCCACCGCGGCCTCCAAAGCCAGCCCCGCCACGGCGGCAGCAGCAGCGGTAGGGACGGCCAAGCCCCCCTCCATCTCCTCCTCCTCCTCCATCTCCTCCTCCTCCTCCTCTTCCTCTTCCTCCTCCTCCTGCTCGGAAGGGAGTGGAACTGCCCCGGCGAAGTATGGGGAGCACGCCAACCCCGCCATCCTCCTCATGGGCTCCAATAATGGAGGAGCTGTTGCCAAGAGCGATTGTCAACAGCCGCTGGTTTGGCCTGCCTGGGTTTACTGCACTAGGTATTCAGACAGACCATCCTCGGGTAAGAATCCTCTTCCGCGCCGTGAGAATCCACCACCCCCCTCCCCCGCTCCGTTCTTCCTGCTCCTTCCCTCTCTTATATGATGTGCTTGTACTGCTGAGGGTTTCAGACCATCGGGGGCCCCCGCCCCACAGCAATT